CCAGAAGGTGAAATTGCAATGTGTTAGGACAGTTAGTGTAGGTGAAAGAAAGCTGGGCTAAGACTCAGGTGATGTAGGAGTCTGTGGTAAGAGAACCCTGGGAAAAATAAAAGACAGGAAGCATAAGTTGAAGGTAAAGCCTGAGGAGTGATAGAGCTGTATTGTTTGATCCCATGTATGTTGTAGCTCAAAGCGGGTACCTGCATACGGAGGTAGTTACCACTCAATGATACAATCATTCAGGAAATTGGCAAGGAGGGAAACATATTGAAGAAGTATCCTCAAGACAGCTACAGATAAAGAGAGCTGGAGAAATTTTAAGTCCATGTATGATGTTATTTTACTGTTACTGGGTGAGGTGATCTATGGATAGGGAACTGGAGGATAAAAAAAAACACAGAAATTAAGGAACCTGAATCTAGAATATACTGAATTTTAGAGCAAATTATGCAAATAGTTTAACTGGAAAAAAAAGGTAGACAATATTATGGTCATCTCCATGAGGTGGCACGACTTGCTGGTTCCATCAGAGCCTTGACCGTACATCAGGGGTGGGATGGATATATATTTAAGGGTCGGTCCCCAAAGGCCACTGCGATCGTTAATTTGAAGATACACCTTATTGTTGTATTGTTTGTATTGGTGATTGTTATTTTCATTGTAGTTTTGATCTTCGAGTGTAGGTTACATACTCTCATTACTCGTTCTCACACGGCCATCTCTGATTTGTGTCTACAAATGGAATTGTAACATGCACTGTCAAATATCATCGAGGGTGGATTGTGTAGAATGGGCTGAAGGGCTAAACATGTTGATGTTATTCGACAGCTGCATGCCCTTGAATGAATCCCACGAATATTCCTGTACGTGCCGAAGCCAGCACAATCAACATGTTTTTCTGTGCCTGGCTGTTTGTTACACCGTATATAAGGAAGAGAGAGCGTTTCGTTCCAAGTTGTCAGACTTCACCTCGGGCTGGGATTGTGAACAGTGCCAGGAACAACCTCAGCCTCCAGACAAGTCATCGATTGGGCAGAAGGGCGTGAGGCTTATTGCTTTTGTCCTCTCTTTTTCATTCTTTTTATTTACTTAATAAATGTTCCTTTCTTTTATCGTCTTTTATTGTTACTGAATAAATGTCCATATTTAAGCAAATTGCTGTTGTTGAGTCTCCTCTTAATTACATTTAACCAAATCCAAAAAGAACTGTTTGGATATATCCTGCAATCCATCAAGGAGCTTGACAGACAGTTTAAATATAGACAGAAGAAGTATATATTCTGTGTATATAAGTAATACATACAGGGAATAAACACATTCAGAATTCGTTCCTTGAGAAGATATATATGGTCAATGTATACATTGAGTATATAGACAATCAAAAACAAACACTGAGAACAGATTCCTAATGCATTGATAAAGGACCTCTTCCAACCAAAACCTGGCTTCTCACCACATTCTCCCCAGCATCATGATTGCGTCTGGCCTCCTAGAGGCAATTGATCACTTCTGCTTTCTCAGTAGTCACTCATCCCAGTCAGTGATCATAGACTTGGAGATCCTGCACAGGAACCTGTACACAGGTCCTCTTCTGGGAATCTGTTCCATTAACCATCACCTTTGGAGGGACACAGGTTGTAGTCTACAGGTTTTCTTCCGAAAATCTTCTACGCTGCAAGCCCTGGGTGATGTAACATCAAAACCTGAGAAAGCTTGAGACATACCAACAGCACTGGCTATGGATGATCCCACATGTGACCAGGATGATCCATCAGGATGGTCACCGTGTGATCACAAGCACCCTCCAGGAAGCAGGCATCATGAGCAGAGAGGTGACCATTCTTACATGGCAACTGCAATGGGCAGGCTACTCTATTAGAATGCCAAACAGTTGCCTTACAATGTGCTCCTTACTCCCATTTCACGACTGGTCTAAGGCCACAGGGCAGTCAATGGAAAGGTAGTCTGAAAGCCTACTTGAAATTTGGTGTTGACCTCAACAGCTGGGAAGAGAATGCACTGGAGCAACTATAGTGGCGAGTCTTGTTCGCCGAGGTATATCTGGTCTGGAAGCAAAATGATGACAAAGATGAGAGAGAAAGAAGGAAGTTCCAAGAATGCAAACAACTCTTCCTCGACCATTAATCTACCAGCTGACTGGCTAATGACTGACTGCCAATGTGGAATGTGGGTTTTGTGTCTTTTTAATGCTGTTTCTCCCTTAGTCTTTTACTGACACTTTTTACACTGCATTTAGTGTTCCTGACTGCACCCCATATCTCTTACAGTCTTTCTCTCTTCCTCCTACCCTTTCTCTCTCTCTCTCTCACCTTATTTTTATTCTATGGCAAGTATCTCCTCACTCCAAGGGATTGCAAAGAGAATATGTCGATAGTATTTATATCATTTAAGTATACACTGCAGATGAGATAGATAAACAGCAACAGAACAGCGATTATCAGTGCAATTTGTTCTCTTGCCCCTTCACCAATACTAGCCCCTCCTCGCACAGGTACTGCCCAAAACAGACAAATTTCAGAAAAGGCCAGAACTGATGAACGATCATTGTCCTGAAATGTAACTCTGTTTCTCTCACCACAGATACTGTCTAACCTGCTGAGTTTCTCCAGCACTTTCTATGTATACTTACCACAGACAGGTCCTCTAACCTTTTTTCACAAAGGCACTCAAACACTCATTATTTCTAACTCCTTGCTCACCTCATCCAGAGATGATCCACCATTTTTGATCACCAGTCTTTTCTTAAACCTTTCAAGATGGTGAAGCGGGGAATTTATTTTTTTCAAGACAGTCCTCAGTCTGTGGGATTCTCATGCCCAGAGAATAACTCACCAAAGCTCCTTTGAAAGCACCTTCCAAACCTGCGCCCTCTACCAGCCATAAGGACAAAGGCAGAAGACATACAGGACACCAGCACCAGTTTCCCTTCAAGACGCACACCATCCTGACTTGGAAATATATTGCCATGCTTTCAGTGTTGCCGGGTCAAAATCCGAGAACTCGTGTCTGAACAGCACTGTGGGTGTACCTACACCACAAGACAGCTCACCACCACCTTCTCAAAGGCAATTAAGGATGGACACTAAATGCTGGGCCAACCAGCGATTCCTATATCCTGTGAAAGAAAAAAAAATGGAAAGCAGTGGAGGCTGAGAAATTGAATCCATTCAAGGCTGAATTAGACTTATTTTTGTTAAACAAGGGAATCAAGAGTTATGGAAGGGATGCAACAGGAAAGTGCAGTTGAGGCTATAACCAGATTAAACGTGATCATATTGAATAGCAGGCTCAAAGAGCTGAATGGCCTACTCCTGTTTCTAAATCCTATGTGCTCCATCCCCTTCTTCCTCATTCTGTGTGTCTCTAATGATCAGTTTAAACTTCAGATCTACAGAAAGTGGGTGATACATGCAGAGTCAGGTGCTGATTTGTTCTAGAGTTATAAATCATTGCAGGGAATGTTGATGGCGGGTGGGAGGTTATGAGAGGCCTGAACCAAGTCCTCTCAGCATACACCAACTGCCTTTGAATCATAGAACCCCTACAGTGTGGAAGCAGGCCATTTGGCCCAGTGACTCCACACTGACCCTCTGAAGGGCATCCCACTAGGCCTACCCCCTATCCTATTACCTTGCATTTCCCATGGCCAATCTACCTAACCTGCATACTTTTGGACTGGGAGGAAATCAGAGCACCCAGAGGAAACCCACACACACAGGGAGAACGTGCAAACGCCACACACACACACACACACACACGCACACACAGTTGCCCAAGGGTGGAACCAAACCCAGGTTCCTAGCATTGCAAGGCACCAGAGCTAACCACTGGGCCACCGTGCCACAGTCAATCTGCTTGTCAGGTAGCAGTATAACTCCAATCTGAGGACTGTACAGTCCAAATTTCACCAATATCACAGATAGCTACAGAATAACGTTGTCTATCTTTTCATCACTATCTCTCTCACTTCCTTTCTTTTTACACTTCTTTTGTTTTTGTCTTCTCACGTGATTGACATCCTTCCTTCCAATGTTATAACCTTGTATCTTTTATTCTTTTTCTGTTACTCACTGACTGTAATTCTCTCTGTGTCTTTTTAGCCCTCTACTCTTTCAATTGCCCTTATGGAGTAAAAGAGGTGTCATTTTTAAGGCAAAGAAAAGATTTATTTTTCTCTCTCTCTCGGGGTTGTTTGCCTATAGAATTCCCTTTGCCAGAGAGCTTGGGGGAGGCTGGCTCATTGAAGTTATTCAAGGCTGAGTTAGAGATTTTTGATGGACAAGGGATTCAAGGGGTGGGGGGTGGGCAATGGGGGGGAGCTTAGGAAAGTAGTGTTAAGATCACAAGCAAATCAACCACCATCTTATTGAATGGTACAGCGAATTGAGGGGCCAAATGGCCATTCTAATTTGTGTTTATCTATAGTCTTGAGTCTGATTTTATCTCATCCTCCATCTTTTTTACTTAACTTTTAGAATCTCTCTCTGTTTCTATGTCTCTGTCTATACCTCCCTCTCTCTCTCTTCTACACCTCTGTTTGTGTTCTCTCTGTTTCACTCTGTTCCCCATTTGCTCTGTCAGTCTCCTTGCAGCATTCTCTCTCTCTCTCTGGTCAGTTCTCTCTTTCTCTCTCAGCCTTGCTGTTTTCCCAATGGTTGAAAGCCTGGAGTTTGTGTTTGATCAATTCACTAAACCACACATCGCTCCCCCCCCCCCCCCGCACCCCCACCCCAACCCTCCAACCATCCCACTTCAGTTCTGATTGGCTGAGCCTTGGTAGAGAAGGAAGATCCGTAATTAAGTAGCTAATCTGATGCTGGGATGAGAGAAGTCTTCAATTCACATCACTCCTTCACACGTGTTAACCTTACACAACAGGATCGGTCTTCAGTGAGCCCTGTCCTTCAGAGAGGAACCCGCCAGCGCTCCCCCTTTATTGCCATTCAGCTCTGATCACTGTCCTTGCTGGGATTCTCGGGATGATCGTTTCCCAGGTCTGGCTGCCCTCACTCTTTATCCTCAACATCTACCTCAAGCTGTGCCACCCGTGGTAAGTGAAGCCTTTGGGAAGACCCTGCGTTTCTCTCCATCCAACCTACCTCTGGCTTCCTTCCCCGTCGCCTGCTCTGCGGCCTGTTCCTGCAAAAATGACTGGGAGCTTCCCCACCCACCCCGCCCTTTCCCCCACTCCTGTCCCTCTCCATAACAGGATGGGCCGCATCAAAGCTTTATCGCCTTAAATGCTCAGACCAGCACTGAGTGGGGGACTGAGCTGGGGATATCATCTTATCTGAGGCCCTTGGAGGGATTTAAGAAGGTCCCCCCCCCACCCCACCCCTCACACACAAAAAAAATCCCATATATTTTCGAAGGACAAACTTGGCAGTTTTCTACAACTTAAGCTTTTGACTCTTCTTGTTCCAGGTCAGTGAATAATTTCCTCATGACCGGTCCCAAGGTAAGAAAGTGCATTTTTTTATTTTGATCATCCTCCCATTGATAAATGATAATGGCATGGGTTTAGGCTTGTGTTCCTGGTAAATGCTTTAAGATTCAGAGGCTATTTTAAGGGAGGGGACTCTCCTATATCTCCTTCTGTATGTGTGTGTGTGTCTGTCTCCGTGTGTGTGGCTGTGTGTCTGTGTGTGTTTGTATGTGTGTGTGTGTCTATGTCTGTGTGTATACGTGTGTGTCTTTGTATGTGTGTGTGTGTGTCTGTGTGTATACATGTGTGTGTCTCTGTATGTGAGTGTGCTTGTGTCTCTGTGTCTGTATGTGTATGTATGTGTGTGTGTATTTTTAGGGTCTGCAGTAATAATGTTGGAGATTTTAAGACCATCTCGCCACTTTCTTGACGCTAGCTCCTGTTACTGACTCGGGTTGAATTACGTTTTTAAGGGACGGGATCGTTTGGAATCACATGGCGAACTGTTTTCCTAATTGTGAGGCTGACTAGGGACTGAAAAATTCCAGTTAGCAACCTGTAGACTGCGGCAGATAAAATAATCAGGATCTCGCTGCTGAGATTTGTTTTAAACTTGTAAACTTCCAGTTCTCCACCACCAAATCACTACCCCCCTCACTTCCCTTCCCCGATTCTCAGTGTCCCCCCTCCCCCGGTTGGATTTAAACGATAAAGTCCAACACCCTGAATTTCAGAGACTAGAACTGGAGAGATCTACAGGCAGAACGAGCGGCGGTCCCACTGGAACAGAGTTTTGTAGTAAAGGTGGACTGGGTAGATGTTGGGAAGTCTCCCCTGGCTGGAAGAAACTAGAATATAGGATCATTGATTCAGAATATGGGGGAAACCTTTCAGGATTGAGATGAGGAAGAATTTCTTCATCCAGAGGGCTGTAAGTTTGCAGAATTCTCCAATGTAGAACGGCTCCAGGACGAAATAATATTGAAGTGAGAGGATTATATACCGAAAAGGGGATGTGAGAGAGATGTGGAAATGTGGTGTCTGGTGGAAGACGAAAGATAGTCTGACATAACGGGGAAGTAATGAGTCTTTATGAACGAGATGCAAACACTGAGATGCGCAAAGTTAAAATACTAAAACGCTGCGCATTTTGGAAATGTCAACATGTGTAAAGAATTAAAAAGGTAACTAGGGAAACTGGAACCAAAGCTCAATACTGCGGAGGCTGGTAATCCGGAATAAAAAGCAGAAAGTGCTGGAGAAACTCAGTGGTCTGTGGAGAGAGAGAGAAAGAGGAAGTTGTTGGCCTGGTGCCGGAAAGTAGGGCTAATGTGGGTAAAAACAGAAATTGCTGGAGAAGCTCAGAAGGTCTGGCAGCACCTGTGGAGAGAAATCAGAGGGAACGGGGATTTTCTGCACTACGTCGGTGGTCTTCAATTAAAAGCTGGTCAGATGACAAGGATATCTGGACTGATTTCAGTTTGGCGCGGGATGTGGTGAGAAACGTAGTTTAAAGTCTCCATTTTCGCTTGCAAAACCCACTGTTCCCCGTCTCGGGGCCGGAACTCGATTCTTATTCTGCATCTATTTCTGGGAGACCCAGGAATCTCCCACTTTACTGGATGTAGGTTGAGGTTTATCATTGTCCCGATGGACAGATGCCTCTGCCCCCGCCATCCCTCCTGCTCCAGGAGACAGTGGGAGTGTGTCCTCCTGACAGAGAGCAGGGGCTGACAGAGAGGGTATTTGCTCTCTGAACTGAAAGGGAATCAGAGCGACATTCAAACAGTGTTCACTGAACCCGAAACGTTAACTCTACTTTCTGTCTCCGTAGATGCTGACAGACCTGCTGAGCTTCTCCAGCTATTTGTTTTTGTTACAGAAAATAGGAGCAGAAGTAGGCCATTCGGCCCTTTGAACCTGCTGCACCATTCAATATATTCATGGCTGATCATCCAACTCAGTCCCCTGTTCCTGCTTTCTACCCATAGCCTTTGATCGCTTTAGCCCTGAGAGCTATATCTATCTCCTTGTTTGAAAACATTCAATGATTTGGCCTCAAATGCTTTCTCTAGTAGTGAATTCCACAGGCTCCCCACTCTCTGGGTGAAGAAATTTCTCCTCAGCTCAGTCTGAAATTGCCTACTACATCTCATTAGACTGTGAGCCCTGGTTCTTGACATTCCAGTCATCGGCAACATCATTTCTGTGTTTACTCTGTCTAGTGCTGTTAGAATTTTATAGATTTTAAAACATTTGAACTTCATTTGGTGTCCATATCCTGCTCACAGGACAATAGTCATGCTGCAGTATCCACATTCCTCCCCAAAAGATTAGAATGATAGAATCCCTGCAGTGTGGAATCAGGCATTTCAGCCCATCAGGTCCACCCAGAATCACCCAGTACCCTACCCCTGTATTTCCCCATGGCAATCCACCTAACCTGCACATCTTTGGAGCATGGGAGGAAACCAGAGCACCCAGAGGAAACCCATGCAGATCCATGGAGAATGTGCAAACTCCATACAGGCAGTCAGCTGAGGGATGGAATTGAACCTGGGTCCTTGGTACTGTGAGGCAGCATTGCTAGCCACTGTTCCACTGTGCCACCCATGAACACATAAAGAACTGCACGTCTACAGTGTCTGTGGGAGATCAGAACAGTTAAGTTTTAAGAGTTTTGTATTATGAAGTCAAAATATTCGCTCTGTTTCTCTCTCTTTTTCACAGACACACACTGCTGAGCTCCTACACATTTTTCTCTGTTCATTCCAGCATCCCACGTTTCTGGTTTCATGTTAGGATTGAGTCCAGGCTGATGGTTACTGAGTGCTTGGTTTCATCCCTGCTCCTGAGTTTGCTGGTTCTCTCCTGTTGTAGGGAGCTGGTGGTGAGGTGGTTGTTACCCAGTCTCTGATGAACTGTTTCCTTGCCCCAGGCCTACCTGATCTACTCTGGCAGTGTGGCAGCTGGTGCCCAGAGTGGCATTGAAGAATGTAAGCATCAATTTGCGTGGGATCGCTGGAACTGCCCAGAGAGAGCGCTGCAGTTGTCCACACATAGCGGCCTGCGGAGCGGTAAGAGAGGGCCCTGGGAGGGATGGTGGTAGAGACCTCCTTCAACCCCATGGCAGCACTGTTAGCATTGTCAGGGTACATCCAACCAGTGGTGGTGATTACTCACTGTCCGTGCACACACCCATTCACTACACCTCCAGACATGTCCTGGGGAGGCAATAGCCTAGTGGTATTAATCCAGAGACCCAGGTAATGTTCGGGGAAGCTGGGTTTGAATTTTACCATGGCAGATGGTGGAATTTGAATTCAATAACAACATAAAATTCTGGAATTAGAGTCTAATAATGACAATGAATCCATTGTCAGGAAAAAGCCCATCTGGTTCACTAATGTTTTTTTGGGAAGGATAGTGCCTTCCTTACCTGGTCTGGCCTACATGTGACTCCAGACCCACAGCAATGTGATTGACTCTTAACTTCCCTCTGATTAAGGATGGGCAATAAATGCTGCCTAACCACTAATGCCCTCTATGCATGAATGAATTAAAAAACATGTCCACACTGGTCTACAATTACCAGACACTCCATTTAGAGAGCATGAGCAGAACCTTAGAAATATAGAAAGAGGCCATTCAGCCTATTTGCCTCTCATTCCTAGCAGCTGGTCCATGGCTCTGCAGGTTATACTTAGATCTTTCCATTGCTTCTTGCGCTGTGGGTGTTACAGGCTGGGCCAGCATTTATTATCCCTAATTCTGGTCAATTAAGAGTCTGCTGTGGGAAGAAAACAAACATTCTGCTTTCTGAAACTGAATGGGTTTTTAAACTAGCTGTTTGCTGAATTCAAGTGATACCATCAGCCATGGTGAGATTTGAACCCATGCTCCTAGAACCTCAGGTGGGGGTTCAGGATGACTAGACCAGTGACATTTCCACAAGACACCTCCTCCCTTTATTGAATGAGTTGAAGGTTTCTGCCCTCACCACCAAAACTGGGCAGCAAATTCCAGACACCCGCCATCCTCCAGATGAAAATAGGTTTTCCTCATGTCTCCTTTATCGTCCTATCATTAAACACAACAGCACAGAGTCCAGAAGCAAACCATGAACACTTGCACTGGGAAACCCAAGACTGCAGGTGGTAGATATCTGGTATAAATCAAGCTGCAAACACTGAGTAGAGTAAAGAGAGAGCACTGGAGATTGTGTTCTACAAAGTAACTTCTCCTCCAATCAAATAGGATTTCTGCTTCTGCCTCCAATATATCTGCATTGTATTTGTACTCCAAAGTTTGGCAGTGATTTTAGATAGTAGAAAGTTTCCAGTATTCTTTGGGCGCTTTTTTTTTAAATTTCAAACTGTTTTTCTTTCTATGTCTCCTTTACACTCTTTACACCCACCATGTAGCTCTCTCTCTCTCTCTGTGCCTGTTGTATAATAGTGTAGAATCTATTGTCCAACTCTGCCCCTTGTCCTCAAGCTGTAAGTCTGCCCCTTCCTCTAAATGTCTGTCTTGATCTATCTCTCCCCTCTGTACATGAATATCACTTTCTCCCTTCTCTGTGTCCTTATGTGCCTCCACTTAGAGCCAGTCAGCCCCTCAAGACTCCTGCCAATCAGTTAAATCATGGCTAATTTGTGTCTTAAATTGAGCTATTTCTCTTGATATTTTTCTCCATAAAGTTTCTCTCTTTGTTTATTTTCCAATTTGTTGGACTTTTTAGTCTCAAAAAGACACTCTGTTTCTTTCAGTTTATCTGTAGAGAAGCCTCTTATATAGAAGTCACTGACCCCTCTTTACATCCTTCCCTTGGTTGTGTGGATCTCCTTCACCATTTTCATTGAGGTCCATTTGTTTTCACCACCCTCCCATTCTACAGCTGCCCACTTTTACTCCAAATCCCTTTCCTCATCTCCCAATACTGAGTTCCCATCTCACCATGGCCTACAGACCAATACACATCCCTGTGTTGCATTTTAAGCCTCTGTGGCAGCACATTGCTGTTCTCTGTGGGGCAATAAGTGAATTATAACGAGAGAATTCCTCTGTCCTCTGCCAGCAAACCGAGAAGCTGCTTTTGTCCATGCTATCAGCTCAGCTGGTGTAATGTACACACTGACCAGAAACTGCAGTCTGGGCGATTTCGACAACTGCGGCTGCGATGATTCACGGAATGGGCAACCAGGTAAGTGTTGGCCACCAATATTTGGCATGGGTCAAGGGAGAAGCTGTGTTCGGGCAGCACTAATGGTGGTAATAACCGTGTGCTTGATGCAGGAGGACCGGGCTGGCTGTGGGGAGGCTGCAGTGACAACGTGGGCTTCGGTGAGACGATTTCCAAACAGTTTGTCGATGCACTGGAGACCGGCCAGGACGCCAGAGCTGCCATGAATCTGCACAACAATGAGGCCGGCAGGAAGGTAAAATTCACGCATCTTCACTCCCACCATCCCTGCCCCCTGCCGCATAAACACAGTCTTAAAATCACAGGTAGGAACAAAATCACACAGAGGGTCGTAAAAATGTTACACCACCAAACAAGCAGTTCAAGGTTGGCTCCGTTAAATGTTGCCTCACTTCCACATGCTAGAAGTCGCCAATGTCCGATAACCAGCGGGCACAGATTTAAACGGATTTAAATAAATTAATTTAAAAGAAGCAAAAGTGATGTGAAAAGAAAAACTTTTTCACGCAGCAAATAGTTAGGGGCTGGAAGGCTTTGCCTGAGACTGTGGTGAAGGCATGTTCAATTGATGCATTCAAAATGCACTCGGCCTGAGATTTGAAGATGAACAACATGCAAGGTAACTGGGAGAAGGATGGACAATGGTGGAGAATGGCTTATTCAGAGAATGGGTGCAGGCATGAAGTGCCAAATGGCCTCCTTTTACATGGTAATAATTCTGTGATTCTGCAATATTCCTATGCAGGGCCCTGTCCTTTGCAAGCAGAAATAAACTGCACCTCTCTCAACTAAACAAATGGTTTGGGGGACAGCCATTTCCTGCATTCCACAGGGTAACACCTTGACCACATAGAATCAACTTGTCAATCAATCAGCATCATTTTCTCATGCCTCATATGTTGTTGTTCCTCTTAAGATTAGGTATTCTTGTGAGTCTGTCCTGATGAGTGCAAGGCAAGAATTATCAACAGCATAATAATCTTTGTTTATAATTAGCCTTGAGAGTGGTCTATGTATCTGCCAATTCATCAATGCAAAACTAAATGATGTTGCAATCTGTACATGCATTTCTTTCCTTAAAATGCTGAGTATTTGAGCTTGATGTCCAACCTTTGGAATTATAGAACAACAACTAGTGTGCCAGTGATTGCGATGAATTAATTGACAGCAATACAAAAAAGAACCTAAATTCTAAACAATTGCATTTGATCTGTGCATTGCGTGGCTGTCAGTTTATCCAGCTAGCCTTATATAACATTTATTGGAACAGCATTTATCCAATTTTAGTATTTAGCCAAGTTTTCACTTTCCAACTATTATCTAAACGTATTAGTTAATCAAAGTACATTTGCTTCAGACACATGCAGCATTAGGTTGGACTGAGTAGATCAGTATTTCAAATTATTCATTGTATTGAAGAAGGGTGTTTTCCTACCTGTTTACATTAACAAGTCCCCGATCTCTTCCCATCCTCATCCTTCCCTCACATATATTCAGTAAGCTCCCATTGCATTGCTCCACCACTAATATAGAAGGGCAGTGATGGGTATCACCTACAATATGTACTACATTAACTCACCAAGGCTTCTCTGTCAGCACCCTCCACACCCATGACCTCCACCAGCTAGAAGGACCAAGGTTAGCAGATATATATGAACACACAACACCTGCAAATTTCCCTCCAAGTGACACAACATCTGACTTGGAACTATAACACTGGTCTTTCACATTGCTCGGTGAAAAGCCTGGAATTCCCCTCCAAAAAGCACTGTGAGTGTACTTACACCACATAAACTGCATAGTTCAAGAAGACAGCTCACTACCACTTTCTCAAAGAGAATTAGGGATGAATATCAAATTCAAGTGACACCTGCATCCCATGAGCAAATAGGATTAACAATTTCTTGTTAATTTTTCTCTGAAAAATTGTAATCAGTCATTTTTTGTGTGTACAATGGATCATGATCAGGAAGTATTTTGCTAGTAGATGTGAAAATGTCCACATTTGATTCATAGTTTGCTCATTAAAGTTTACATCCTGTGCCTGTCTCAATACCAACACCTGGCTTACATTTGATAGCAAATTGCTAATCAAAAATAAGAATCCACCGTCAACTGCTAACAAAAAGTCTGAAAAAAATCCAAACAGCTTTTGAATAGCACTTGAATCTTTATTTTAGTTCTGCACTCATCTGAGGATATTAGTAGTATTCAACTTCATGATATAATAAAAACATTAATGTTTCTATGAATGATAGTTACATTTTCCAGTTCTGTTCTAACTGGTAATAACTCCTGATGAACTGAAATATCATTTAAATTTGGAGAAAAGGTCTGGATTAATAATGCTAAAATTTCAAATATTCTGTCAAATCCTTCTCTTTAACTGGACTAAGTACTTACTACGACATCTGAAGTGAGAGTTGAAATATGCTTGTCTTGTCTAGCTGTTAACCTGGAATCAACCTAATCAAAAGTACCAACATCACAGTGTCTCAGTAATGATGACCCAGAAACAATAATTTATTATCTTAAAAACCCATCTAGTTTGACATGCCCTTTGGAAAGGAAATCTGTCATCTTTACCCGGTCTGGCCTACAGGTCACTCCAGACCTACAGTAAGGTTGGTGGTTCTTACCACTCTCAAGTCAAGGGCAATTAGAGACGGGCAGTAACCGGTAGCCTTGACAGTGATAGTGCATAAAATTACAAGAACAATTCTAATAATGGTTTACATTTTTAAAACACTTCAGTGGCTGTAAGATGTACTGAGGTAATGAAATGTGCTATATAAACGCATATTTAAAAATCTGATCAAAAGATAAGATCTTGCCCATCCCTAATTGCCCAGAGGGCAGTTAAGAGTCAACCACATTGCTGTGGGTCTGGAGTCACATGTAGGCCGGACCAGGTAAAGATGGCAGCTTTCCTTCCCTCAGAGGCATTAGTGAACCAGATGGATTTTTTTTCCATAATCGATAATGGTTTCATGGTCACCATTAGATTCTTAATTCCAAATTCTCATTTAATTCAACTTCCACCATTTGCTGTGGCGTGTTTCGAACATCTGCGAGATTCGGACCTAGGTCCCCAGAACATGACACGGTTCTCTGGTTTAATCGTCTAGCAATAATATCACGGCCCTGTTTCTAAAATATCCATAAAATGCATTTACTGAGCAGAGGGTAAAATGTAACATTTTTGTTGCTCAGGCAGTCAAAGGCACAATGAAGCGAACCTGTAAGTGTCACGGCGTGTCTGGGAGCTGTACGACACAGACCTGTTGGTTGCAGCTCCCTGAATTCCGAGAGGTGGGCAACTACCTGAAGGAGAAGTATCACAAGGCGCTGAAGATTGACCTGCTGAAAGGAGCAGGCAACAGCGCGGCCAGCAGAGGGGCGATCGCCGAGACCTTCAGCTCCATCTCCAAGAAGGAGCTGGTGCACCTGGAGGACTCGCCTGACTACTGCCTGGAGAACAAGACCCTGGGGCTGCAGGGAACGGAAGGCAGGGAGTGCGTGAGGAAGGGGAAGCTGCTCAGCAAGTGGGAGAAGCGAAGCTGCAAGAGGCTGTGCGGGGACTGTGGCCTGGCCGTGGGCGAGAGGCGAGCCCAGATGATGAGCAGCTGCAACTGCAAATTCCACTGGTGTTGCGCCGTCAAGTGTGAACAATGCCGGAAAACCATCACCAAATACTTCTGCGTCAAAAAGGACAAGAGATCCCGGAACGAGAGCGCCTCCAAGAGGAAGGAAGGGAGGCTTGGAATGAGGCACTAAGGCCATTCTCTTGAACTGACCAGTGACAATGCAAACAAAGACGATTAAACAACAAGGCCGACCCTCCTTTGGTCTCAAATTGGCCGGCGTTAGCAAAGTGAGAAGTAGATGTTAAGAAAAAGAGAGCTGTGTTCCCTTTGAGAAGTTGGACAGATTGCTTTCAGACAATATAGCATTGTTCCTTTCGTTTTTGAACTGTTGCAAACTATCACCACAGCTCAGAGACCAGCAACCTGTAAGTATCACAGTGCAGTTACTGCTGATGTGCTGGGTTTATGGGGGCCTGCATTTCAGACCAAGAGTAAAGTGGCATTTCAAGTGATCATCTAAATACCGGTTGGCATGGATGAGTAAGGCCAAAGGGCCTGTTTCCATGTTGTATGACTCTATGACTTGTTAAATGTTGTGATGGGTCCTGCCTGTATCACTCTTTCAGGCAGGAAGTTCCAGACACTCCCCACGCTCTGGATGAAAGAATTCTACGTTAAATCCCTTACTGTCCTTCACCTTAAATCTATACCCAAGTTTATTGATCACTCTACAGACGGGAAAAGTCCCTTCTTATCGACCCCAATTGATGCCCCACATAACTTTGTACACCTCAATTAGGTCTGCTGTCAGCCTCCTCTGCTCGAAGGAAAACAACCTCAGCCTGTCTAATCCCTGTTCATAGCTCTTCAGGTTTATTTCCCTATTCAAAAGTGTGCACAAAGCCCCCAGGATGTTGCAAAGTACACTGCAGCCATTGAAGTGTTCTTCTGGAAAGTCTAACCCTGTTAAATCAAAATGCCACCCAGCAGTCCAGGCAAGGGAGCATGATTTTTGCCCAAATCCTCTGCCAGTTCCACCTACTGTGGACAGAGGGCATAGTATTGCAGGGGTGAATGTGATCCATCAAGGTCAAAGTGTCTGTTGAATCTCTCTCCAGCAATGCACCAACTGCAATTGTGTCAATCTCGTCAATAAGATATGTGGGTCCCATTGATCTCACCTGAATGATAAAGTGGATCAGAGGAATTTGCACTCTTCTGTCTTGAAGCAATATTTTGGAAGCTGCTGTCTGAAATCATTATCTGTGACAGTATCAGTGGGTGGACAATGCATTTTGAGAATCTCGGAACTGTCTCATTGTTCCAGAATTCACAGAATGCAGGAATTAGACTTAGCTGGGCCAGGGAATGGTATAATTCTCACAAGATGCCCAACCGTTAAACTGATTAGAGTGATGAATGTGCCTGTAATATCCTGGCATGTCGTAGGAAAGGGTGATGCTTCCTGTCACCAGGACACACTGAGGACATGCCCCCACTACCCATCAGATTGAGATTCTACTCCAGGCAGGGCCCCAATTCAGAAAGGTGTCTTGCAAGGCAGCATGAATGCCATTCTGAAGAGGTTTCTTCTCTGTTGACCATTCTGTTTTTAAGTACTGTATTCCTTTGTGGGATATGGGCATTGTTGGCAATGCCAGTGTTTAATGCCCATCCCTAATTTGTCTTGAACTGAGGGGCTTGCTAGGCCATTTCAGAGGGCAGTCAAAAGTCTGGAATCACATGTAGGCCAGACTGAGTAAGGACGACAGATTTCTTTTGTTTAGTCAACTAGAAGGGGTTTTCACAGCAATAAACAACCATTGGGCCAGTGAGGGCAGCATATGTCCTTCACTAAAGGGCATTCATTGGAGGTAATTCTAATTTGTTTTTCTTTCCTGTTGGTAGGATTGAATTAGTGAGAGGCTGCAGACTTGGTGATAGGGCATGAAGTGAAAAGTTGCAAAAAGGAACTTAGTTGTCCTCATTAAAAAAAAAGCACAAAGGATACCTAGGAGTATAAATCAGCCATTCAGCCCCTCAAACATATTCCACGACTTGCTCTGGCCATGACATTGACTAAACTTCATCTTAAGCTCCTTGGTTTTAATTCATGCCCTTGGCTAATAAATTTCTGTCCCATAAATTAAAATAGAGCAGATGCTGGAAATCTTCAATAGGCAGTCGAGAAGCTCAGCAGTCTGGCAGCATCTATGCAGAGAGAAAGAGAGGGTTAGAGACAAGAGTGAAGAAGAGTCACACTGGACTCGAAATGTTAACTCTGTTTCTCTCTACACAGATGCTGCCAGCCCTGCTGAGTTTCTTCAGCATTCTCTGTACTTGATTCAACTCTCTATCCCAGTTTTCACTGGAACCCCAGCCACAACCACGTGTTGTCCGGAAGAAGCCACTACTCTATCCACATGCTGTATGTAGAAATGGGGAATGGACTGGGCACAGGGGCAGAGAGATTTCTGCCTGTGCTTGGTATGGGTGAGGTTGTTGGATAACAAGGGAGCTGAATTTCATCTTTCATCAACCTGCAGTCAAATAGGAGGCGGTCTCCAGTTTAATGGGTTAGGACTGGTGTAGTGGTAGTGTCCGTAGCTCAGGGCTAGGAGTCATGGGTTCAAGGCCCACCAGCTTCAGAGGTGTGTTACAGCAATCTGAACAGGCTGATTAGAAATTATCTACAGCAGCTCAGATCCAAACAGTACAATGCAGCTGTCAAACTGATGAATGGATTTTGATGCATTTTTAATGGTTAATGTCACCATGGGACAGAAAGCAAAGACAGGTCAATAGCATTGAGCTACAAATCAGCTGGTATGTTATGTCATTTCTAATCAACTTTTTTCGAGACAGTGTGTTCTGGTCTGAACTCGGGCCTCCTAGCTCAGAGGCAGAGACGCTACCACTGCGCCACAAGAGCGCTATCATTGGATTTGACATTGGGGTTCTAAGGGCTTAAACCTGTCACCCGTCCAGATGATGGGTAGTTACAGATCAAACTCTTCAGACAGGGACTCAAACGTAAAACTCCGAGTGATCCGCCCGGCGGTGTTAAAATGGAACCGGGAGCACAATGCAAGTTAAAAGGGTGGGTAATCTGTAGATGTTATCCTGTGTCTGACAACATTAATAAGCGGAGGTTCCTCCCCCTCCAACAGTAAAGGGCTATTTAATTGTTGTATAATGTCCAGGAACATGAAGCACTTTGTACATTGGTTAATTTATTGCACCGTTATCCAGACTTTTGATGTTCTGAAATCCTTTCGATTCTCGACGTTAGTTTTGTTGTTGTAATGTATAGACGTTGTGCAGTTTTGAAACTCAAGATAATTTAGATTCTCGTTTCCTTTTGGAACACATGACCTGGTCTCCTTAATCTCTCGCTCCGGTCCTTTTGTAAATTTTAACCGAGTAATGCAAGAGAAGTTGTTGGCGCGGAATATTTGAGTTGATGGACCGTGGTTTTTCCGTTTATAGTTATCTAACGGCGGCTTTCGCTACACCAGCAGGTCAAATATCTAAATCCAGTTGTAATCTTCATTTTATTTGTATTTCCCAATAAAACAAGACAAATTGAATTCAGGAACATACTAAATCGTTAATATCAGCTCTTTTAAGTTATCCAATGTTACTTAAAACCATCGCTATTAAAACCCGTACTTTCAAAATAATATCAGAGTGCTGACTGTGGTGGCATTACTTATTGGAGTAATTCGATTATGATCACTCTTGTCATTTTTTTGTTGTAACTAGGTTTTTTCTTCTCAAGATGTTTATAAAGTGTTTCGGGCTACTTAACGGTGTAATAATTTGGGAGGAGAAAATTATTACAGATGCTGGAATCTGAACTGAAAACAACAAATGCTGGAGATCACAGCGGATCAGGCAGCATGATAACTTGAGCGTGTGCACATGATAGAAGCAAAATCCAAACGGGATATGAAAGTATAATTCATAAGGTTTGGCGCAGTTCGCATTTCTAAACTTCTTTTTGTGATTCAGAACTCAGTCTGTTTTCCAAAAGTTGCCTTTTCGTTTTCTCTGCCGCCGTTTGTAACTAGTTTCAGAAACTGAGATAATTTTAAAAATCACTTACACAGCACTGGCGCCGTTAGCTTTGGAGAACGCAGTGATACGGGATTTTATAGAGTTTAAAGTAATATACAGTTTATACATGTTAACGTTGCACAAAGACTTTATGACCGCTGTGCGTATTCTCCCAAGCGCTTTTTTTTCACGCAAGGACAAACATTTTATATTTACATATACACACATATATTTTAAAAATCTACACTGACAGACATGAACACATAATGTATCTACACAAACATTTTTATGATGCCGAAAGCAGTTGTAATTTACTCCATGTTAAACATTTATATTACTGCACATTATGATACTTTTGAGAAGTTTCACGCGATTTCAATACATTTCATTTTACATTGGGTCATGAAATTGAATTCTGTTCTCAGTATGTTATCCAGTTCAATTTAAATATCGGAGGTGTGAGTTTTAAAATAAATGCAGTTGGAAGAGATTTATAACTGCTTGCCTTTGACTGGGATCGCTCCTTTTGCAGTTTTACGTAAGGGTTTTGCAATTGGAGCAAGTACCTACCTGTGAAATGCTCACAAGAGGGATGCAAGTGTAAAGAGTTCAGACCAGAATACACAGTCTCCAGAACTCCTCAACACACCCACTTCCAGCCACAGAACCCTCAAGTTAAACTGAACGAAGAGAAGATATTTTTCGGAGTCCCTAAACTAAAACTTGCAGCTTTGTCGGTGGATTATATTTCAAATGTATTTCCTTCACCCGTTAATAACGACCGCCGTCCCGTTAATTCAGGATTCGTTCCCTAGGAAATAACCTCTTTTCGGGGAAATCAAAGCTGTCTGTCTCTCTCTCTCACACACACACACCTTCTTTCGATAGAAAAAATTCAGATCTATTTAGTCACTGGCCGCGCTGAGTTCAACTCATTTTCTCGGGCGGGTTTATTCATCAGTTTCCCGTTTGAAACACTTGCTTGGGATAGAATTTTAAATCAAACTGTAAAAATGCCTCGCTACATTTCTGCTTTACCCCCCCCCCCCCCAATTGGGACGTTTCCTAATCCATCAAACTGTATTTAAGTGCGCTTTGTTTCAGCGCGAGGGTGTATTCCAAGAATATTTT